TTTTGAGGAGGACCCTCAAAATTCTAATACAAAGAAGCCGCAATGTCTCTAAAAGTGTCACAGTCATTAGTTCATCTAATTTACTTGATATTATACACTACTATGTTTTATAAAGTGATTATATTTCATCAATAAATTTACATTTTCGAAAAATTTATTTCTGTGACAGCCAGGTGTTACCCAAGGCAACTTGAACAGGGCCTCCAGAGTGAAGCAAAGCAGAACAAGCAGACAAAGGCACGAACCAACCTCCCCGCAAAACTCACGATTTTTCTTTAAATGTAGGGACAAGGAATAACCACAAGTACATGCGCCTTAAAATCATTACCTTCATAACAACTGGACCGCCAAACGTAAATATATCTCCAGCTAAGAAATATTTTGCTCCTATTTGCTATTTGTCCACTACATAAGGCTAAGCTTTGCCTTCTCTTTGCATGAGACTAAGCCCTATCTCAAATCTTGCATAAGGCTAAGCCTTGCCTCCATATTTGTATAAGACTAAGCATTGCCTTCTCTCTGCATGAGACTAAGCCCTGTCTCAAATATTGCATGTGGCTAAGCCCCGCCTCCATATTTGCATAAGGCTAAGCATTGCCTTCTCTCTACATGAGACTAAGCCCTGTCTCAAATCTTGCATGAGGCTAAGCCCTGCCTCCATATTTGTATAAGGCTAACCATTGCCTTCTCTCTGCGTGAGACTAAGCCCTGTCTCAAATCTTCCATGAGGCGAAGCCCTACCTCCATATTTATATAAGGCTAAGCATTGCCTTCTCTCTGTATGAGACTAAGCTTTGTCTCAAATCTTGCACGAGGCTAAGCCCTGCCTCCATATTTGCATAAGGCTAAGCATTTCCTTCTCTCTGCATGAGACTAAGCCCTGTCTCAAATCTTGCATGAGGCTAAGCCTTGCCTCCTTTTTCTTGCATGAGACTAAGCATTGTCTCCCTTATTTGCATGAGGCTAAGCCCTGCCTCACTATTTGCATAAGGATAAGCACTTCCCTCCCTTGCAAGAGACTAAGCATTGTCTCCCTTCCTGGCATGAGGCTAAGCGTTGCCTCCCTATTTGCGTAAGGCTAAGCACTGCCTTCCCTTGCATGAGACTAAGCATTGTCTCCCTTTTCTTGCATGAGACTAAGCATTGTCTCCCTTTTCTTGCATGAGACTAAACATTGTCTCCCTTTCTTACATGAGGCTAAGCCCTTCCTCGCTATTTGCATAAGGCTAAGCACTGCCTTCTACTGCATGAGACTAAGCATTGTCTCCTCTCCTACATGAGACTAAGCATTGTCTCTTCTCCTTGCATGAGGCTAAGCCCTGCCTCCCCAACTTCATAAGGCTAAGATCTGCCTTTCCTTGTCTAATGCTGAATGTTACACTATTTGAAACCTAGCACTATTTTGCCTTTTCAGGGACTAAGCTATGTTTCGATTCTATGCAAGACTAAGCACTGTCTTGTTTGCTCATATGTTCCATCATCATGTCTCTATCCGAAGGCGTCATAGTCCGAAGGCATCATCCTTATAGCCTGAAGACACCATGTCATGGCTTGAAGATCTCTCAATATTGCACATCATTATTCAAAGGCGTCATGGTTCAGAGGCACCATTCTCATGGCCCGAGAACATCATTTCATGGTCTGCGAATCCCTTATCTCATGATTTATGGCCCGCGACGTCATGGTCTAAGGACATCATCTTCACTGTCCAAAGACAACCTTCATAGTCCAAAGGGAATTTGCATCATGTTTAAGTTCTCACAGTAATCTATATATTTGCATGCATCATGTTTTAACTTTTGCAGGAAATCTAGGAGGTAACCGTTCTTCGAACATGAGCAACTTTTGCTCCGGTTTCCACTCATAATATTTTTATCTTGTTGTTATCTAAAACATAATCGATTCTCACAAATTACTTGCTTTTACCCCATGAACGTTTAGATACCTGCCCTGTAATACATCTATTACACTTCAGACTCATATTTATAACTCCGCATAAACCCATCTGATACTATCCTTCCCAAAAGGAACCATTTCCAAAACATACGACCGATCCTATAACAATTCCATCAGTTTCATTCACCGCTGGGTCCAGAACTACACATGGCTTGATTCCTGTAAAACCAGGGATATGTAGGCAGCTCAGGACCAGGGTGCAGCCTATATTTTGCAAAACATCCCATTCGATCAAAATCGGACATCATTTCTTTACCTCATAACTCTTTCATCCTTTCCGGGTAAAGAAGGGCAGCTGTTTATACCCAATTTTTTCCTCATATATTTTTAATATGCATATATATTTTTTAAAATAGTACACATGCATTTACAAACATGCACAAGTATTTCTATAATTTTTCTATAATTGTTAAAGCTTTATATCAATTATTTCTGCATTTTTATTATATAAATATCCAAAATTATCCCTCATAACATTTTTATGATTATTTAATCATCTAAATTTATCATTTAAGCCCATATAATGTTTAAATATTTTCATTGTATTTTTTATAATTATATTTGCATTTTAAGGCTAGAATTGCACATTTTGCAATAGCAGCCCATATATATGCATAATTATATTATCTATATAGAAAATGACTTTTTATATTTTTATAATATTAAGTAATTATTTTAAATCATTTTCATGCACAAATGACATCTTTATCATTTATAAATTATTTTATTAAATTAAATGGGCATTTAAAACATAGCCCCTCTTCAATTGAATTTTCGGACCCCCATCCCAATAATATAGTAAGCCCAATTACCCTACCCATCCATAACCCGCCCCAGCCTAAATTTTATCCTAGCCGTCGATCTCAGAAGATCAACGGTCCAGGATCTACCTTCCTTTTTAATTATACTAAAGCTCCTAACCCTACCCGCAATTTCCCCAACCCGCTGCCTCTGGATCCCTTCTTTACTCTCTTCTCTCTTACTCCCCTTCTAACCCTAGCCCCCCGTCACTGATATCCCTCTTGATTCATGGGGGTTTCCTTCAATTTCACACCCTATCCTGCCTCATCTCTCTATTGGTTGTATGATTTTCATGTTACTTGAGGATAATCTCAAGAGATTCGAACCAGATTTGGTTCAAAGTCTCTCATTTCTCGATTAATCCGTCTATGTTCACTCTGATATCTGCGAGTACAGATAATTTTTGTGTTTTTATTGTTTCAAATCTCTGGTTCAAACCAGCTTTGATTCACTTCTATTTATTTCCATGAACCTAGATATTTCTGGTTGAATCCGTCTAGATCTCTTTAGATCTGAAGTGGTTTTGAGTTTGTTTGGTATCTTTCCCTTAAGATTTTCTATTTTTAATATTATTATTAACCGATTTTATTTTACCCTAAAAGCTAGGGTTTTGATTTCTTATGGGTTTTCTGCAAAAATGCTTAAACGTTTAAATGTTTCCAACTCTGGTTTTCTTATTTACTTTTTTGACTATTTTTTCTTGAGTTTCATTTCTATGCCTTTGATATGTCTTAGGGTTTCAATTATTCGACTATTTATCATACTATTTTGCCTGTTTATTTTCAACTCTATCAATTAAGTACTAATTGATTCACTTACCTAAATTAGGGCTTGAATTTAGTACTCGTGTTTCCTTATTAAGTTCTTACTTCTTCTTACCTTATTTATGTAACTGTATTACTGGCTGATTTTGTGTTCTGACTCTTAATTGATTGTGGAGTTAGTTCTTACTTTATTTAACCTCATTCTTAGACACTGATTAACACTACAAAAAAAACAGCGTTTAGCGACGGAATTTAGCGACAAGCGATATTCCGTAGCTAAATAACGACGGATTAGCGACGCATTTTGTACTTTGTCGCCAATTAAGCTAAAAAAGAATCCGTATAAAATATAGCGACGGAATAGCGACAAAAACTTAAATTCGTCGCTAAAATTGGCGCTAAATGTTAGCGCCTTTATTTTACCTACAAAATTAGCGATGAAAGTGAGGCGACAAAAATTACTAAAACCTAGCGACGGATGTAACGTCAAAAAATCCGTTGCTGCAGTGATTTTACTTATCAAGACATTCCACAGTTGATTGCGACGAAATATTCCGTCGCTAGTTTCCTTAAAATATTAGATATTATTAGCAACAGAAATTAGGTCCGTCGCTATTTCCGTTGCTAAAAATCTAGTTCCACTAAAATAAAATTTCATTAGCTATTATAAGCGAAAGAAATTCGATTTGTCACCGATTCTGTTGCTAAATATTTGTCCTAAAAATGAAATTAGGAAAACATGCCCACTCCTCTCTATCAGACTCTCACACTCAATACAATTAGGGCAACACGCCCACTTTCTTTCCTCTCTATCAGACAGACTCCTACTCTCAATATTCTTCAATAATGTGAGTTTTTTACTTCAAATACAAAAAATTGGGCGTGAATCTAGGGTTAATATCTAAAAAATAGAAGAAAACTTTTGAAATTGCAAGATTTTTGTTGCAGAACTCTGAAATTCTTCAATTTCGGAGCCTCGATCTTGTTGGTGTCAGTAGTGCTTAGTGTATTATTTTCTTGTGTGGCACAGGCTATTAGGTCAAGCCTTACATGGGAGCTTTGGAGAGTTCTGAATGTTACTCACGCCATATCACTCAATTTTTTATTTTTTTTATCTGAATCTTGGGCTTGTTTAGATTCCTCTCCCATATAAGTTTAGGGTTTCGGCAAATTGGCCTTTAAATCCATTAACTTGTTATGCATAAAATTAATCTGCAATTGAAAAATTTATCACTTAGGATCTCTTTTCGTAATATCTTAGTGTACATCACCCCAATACATATGGCCTTGTTGCACTGGAATCTAACATTCTTAGTGATGGGTTGATTCCTGTTGACATATTCATCAATTTGGTCAATAGGGATGATGAATGGGTGAACTAATTAGATACTTTGAAGTGCAAGTTTGATATTGTCTTTGAATTGCACCTTTCCTTGTCTTCGCTGCTTGAATTTTGCTTTGACTTTGTCTGTCAATTAGCTGGTCTTACATTTCTTGTATTGTCAACTTTCAGGGCTTTTCCTTCCTGCAGTTGTAAGGCCAATTCTAGATTCTTTTAAATCATCAAACCAAGTCCCCCAACCTTCTCTAAGTGATGTGAGTTAATCGTCACTTTGATACCAATTTCGCTGCACCTTTTTATTTATCCTTTAATCGAAAATATATGTACTTTACCTTCTCCTTCAAAGTTGGTTTTTATGGATCTCGGTGGTATTTTTTGGGGCTTCCCATGGTTATCATTATCTAAGTATTTGCTTAAATGTCTTCTTCGTACTTGGTTGGTAAATGTTGCGCGTCCCATGCATCTGTAATTGAGGGTTTTGTTTTTTAAATTTCTCAATTTTTGTTCCAAGTTATCTGTGGTGTGCGCTTTATTTTGTTCAGTTTTGGTGATTTTTTCTCTATTCTTGCTTTCATTCAATGTAATTTGTTATTGCTACCGTAGTTTTGGTGTTGGTGGGTATCAGGTACTAGCTATGTTCTTTTGGATAGTGTGCTATTGGATTTTTCTTACTTGGTGTTGCTCCGTTTTGGATCCACAATATCACTGTTTAACCATTCAACGAAACTAGTTACCACATATAAACTCCTTTTTTTTATAAGTGTAACAATCATTAATATTCCAATTACCACAAAAGTAAAAGGAAAAAGATCATTATAACTAGCACATAAACACCATTGAACTCAGTTCTATACTATGTTTTCTTTTGTTTGTTGTAGTATTTCAGAAATGGAAGGTAAAAGAGGGATACCAAAATGGTTCATATTAACATATCAATGGCCATTATTTAAACCCCACAAGTAAATATTTTAAATTTTTTTTTTGACAAATGAACTAAGAAGATTATGTTTATGTGAATTTGAAAGAAATAATTCTAACTAAATGAAGAAGAATACTGATAGTGAAATGATAAAGCATGACCAACATTCTTTTAGCTAGTTTATTAGACAATAGTAAGAGTCTGCTTCCAGATTACAAATAATAGTAATACAAAAACTTAGATGATTTCTCTATAATTCTCCATTCAAATATTCACCATATACTTCAAAATTCAATTAACCCAACAGTACTTATTGCTAAAACTACAGGACCAAAGTGCAACATATACTATTTTTAACTTTATTATCTTCTGAATGATTACACTGGCGGCGCTCAATGTTATCCGGTGTATTTTGTTAACGGATACAAATTTCACACAGAATGTCATGGTAGTGCAAGATCAACAATTAATAGTGGAGTTTGTATCTCGGGTCCAAATGTTGGTGACTATTATGGACGAATACAAGAGATTATACAATTGGAATACCGCGAAGAACCTTTAAAGCAAACTGTGTTATTCAAGTATGAATGGTTTGATCCAACTGTGAATGTTGGTGTCAAGGAGAATAACCAATACAAATTAGTCGATGTGAACCATCGCCGTCGTTATAGAAAGTACGAACCTTTTATTCTTGCGATGCAAGCAACTCAAGTGTGTTATGTGCCTTATCCTAGCACGAAAAAGGACAATGATGACTGGGTAGCTGTTTTGAAAGTTAAGCCTCGGGATGTTATTGAACTTCCTGATGAGGCAATAAAAACATGTCCCGTTCTTTCTTGTTTAATTCTTTCACCTTCTTGGAATTCTTGTCTGCCTTTGCTTCTGATAAAAATAATTGTTTTTTCTCAATGGAGTTATGTTNGGTTTCTTATAAAATGAGACGTGGTTGAAGTATAACATCACTGTTGATCTTTCATAAAAGTAGGTGCATTGAATTTATTCATGCTGCTGTATTGAGCAATAGTATTTTGTAATAGCACAACCTGACATAGGTCTTGTGATACATGGTCGTGTGATACATCTCTTACTTAGAGAGAATGCACCATAGTGAAAATTCTGGCACAATTATTGAGAAGCTGCTTAATTGAATAACTTTTGTATAGGCTGTTAAATATGGTCGAGATCCAACACCAAGTGAGTTGCATTTGCACGTCCATACACATGGTAATGATGGAACATCTTTTGTTGCTGAGAAATCCCGAATCGTACATGTAAGATAACTTTTTAAATAATTTTATTGACTTTACTTTCATATATATTTTTTCATTTTGTAAATTGAATGCTCAATATTAATTAGTTTTTTTAGAGCACTAATTATTTACATTTCTACAGGAAAAATATCAGGAGATATTACAACAACAAACACAAACTCAATCTGATATTGATCAGTGTAAAGCATTTTATCAAGCTGCGGGAGGAGAAAAGAAAAGAAGAGTATATGGTCTTGGATCTGAAGCAAAATGCTACTACGGGCCAGATCTTCATGGCTCTTTTGGATCTGATGCTACATCGTCAGCAACACCTCGAAATGCTCAATCAACACCGATAGGGAATCTGGATGAGTTAGTGATGCGATTGATTCCTGCACTGACAGATCATATAGTTCCTGTAATCGTTGAGCGGGTACGCGAATTAGTTTCCTTACCCTCGCATCAGCCAAATACTGATGTGGCACCTACAGTTCCTACATCCTCTACTGCTGTTAACATTGATGAGGTTCATCCATTGGGTTCTGATGATGACCATAACTCTCCAGCCTCACATAGTTAGCCTACTTTATTTGGACTTTATTGTTGGTCCTTATGGATTTTTGTACTTAATTATACGATTATATGCATTATGCTATATATTTTGGACCATGTTAAATATATTGTTAATTTATATTAATATCAGTGACTTTTTATTAAATGTATTTAATTAATAGCTTTTATATAATATGCTTGAACAGATTACATTTAAAATAATAAATAAAAAGAATTTTTAAAAACAACAATATATTAAAAATAAATTAGCGACGGATGCTTTTCGTAGCTACAATTATCGCGTAAAATTAAATCTTGCGACGAATTGGCGACGAAAGATTTTTATTGCAAAATGCCGGGAGAATTAGCTATAACACGTCTAGCGACGGACGATTTCGTTGCTATAGGAACAAACGACGAATTTTGTTATGTATTGCAGCGACGAAAGGCGTCAAAATTGCGACAGAAACAAGCAATACAGCGACGCTTATTTCCCTCGCAAAACTTTGCTACAAATATATTCCGTCGCTAATCCGTCGCCAATTCTGCGACGGTTTGGTTTTTTTCGTCGCTATGAGCTTAGCTACAAGCATTTTAGGGACAAACTTGAATCCGTCGCTAATTCGTCGCTAAACAACTGTAGCGACGGAAAACATTGATTTAGCGACGGAATATGGCCTTCGCTAAACGCTGTTTTTTTGTAGTGTGATTCCATGTGAGATTTTTCTTAAATTAAGTGGTACTTATTTGATTTTGTCCTCTTAATTAATTCATGTTGACCGTAATTTATTGATTAACTAATTTTTATACCTTATTTGTGTGTAATTGATTTTACACCTTATTCGTTTTACTCTATTGTGTGTTATAAAATCCCTTCCCTTGACCTGATTTTAGACACTCAGACAATGAGACACTTACACATTTACAACTTCCCCACTGAACAACTTTTACAACTTAAAAAACTCTCAACCTTTCCGTTCTCTCAAAAACTAAGTTCTCTCTTACTATTATTCTAATTTGCTACACTGTCTGGCCGGCTGAAAGCCAAGGCTAGATTCTCTGAATTCAAATTGCTATTGTATTCCTATTTGCTTTCTTCTCAATTGGTATGTTTTAACTCCTGTTATCCTATTATGTTCTATGTGCTTACTTGGCTAGTTTATTTCAAAACCTCAGCATGATTCTGTTTGCTATATGACTATATGATTCCTTAATGATAATGATAAACTAAGTTATCTCTAATAATGTGAAACCCTGTCTAAATCGGTTGTATGTTCCATGTTCTAAACATGGCTGGATAGTGCAAGCATGTAATTAATATGTGGCTAATTCTGTCTATTAATTCAAGTGTCCTTGCTTTTGTGATTACTCATATGAGTATCCAGTTTGATCAAATACCAATCTGCATGAATCATGTGCTGAATATGGATTCTGTTTGTTCCTTGGTACAACTTTGTTTGCAACCCTGTAACCTGAATCTATTTGCTTCTGAAGATTAAATTGTTTTTCTAAAACTATCCCCCTTACCCTCTATGTACTGGTTTTTAAATTGCTACTCTTAGTCCTTTAGATTCCTACCACCCCCAGTATGAGCACTGCCTAGGGTCCTTGAGACTCCTCTGAACTCTGACACATTGGGGCTGGTCTTCCAATCTTTTATGAACTATTTCTTTAAGTGTGGTACTAGTGTAAGCATTGCTCGGGGTCCTTAAGGCCCTTGGGAACTTTGACACACTAGGAACCTAATCCTGTGTGCCATGGATGGATCCTCCTTTACGCTTCAAAGTTGCTATGTTTGAAGGCCTGGTTCCCAGGTTTATATTGGGCATGCTAAGGCTTCCTATAGTGTAATAGATACCGTTATATAATTTATTCATTCTGGGCTGTAATAATCTCTGTAATAAACAGATCTGGGGTTTATTAGTGAAAGTTGGGGATGGGGGTTTCTATATCTTTGGGTTGAAATCATGCCTATAGGTTTATTATGTTGATTGAATCATGTGAATGCTACTACTTGTTTAGGGATCCTGCCTATAGGATTTTCTAATTGTTTTGTTCTTTATTTTTCTCGCATACTAGAAATCCTATTTATAGACCCCTTGCATTAGAAATCCCGTCCATAGGATCCATGCACATTTTATAACTTACATGCGTTAGTGACCATGTCTATAAGATTTTACCTATTTGATTAACAAACTTTCCTGTCAACTTGCTTTAAAAATTCTGTCCACGTATGATTAATAGATACCATGCCTATAGGAAATAAAAATCAATTTCAACTTAGATACCATACCTATAGGAATAAAATGAACCAGTTTCAAAACTTAGAAATCATGTCTATAGGAGTTAAATTAATTCTGCGACCTAGAAAGCATGGCTATTGGATCTAAAGATATAAAACCTGTCTTTACGAGTTAAAATCAGTAATTCGCTTAGAAATCATGCCTATAGGTCTATCATTAACAAACTCATAGAAATCATGCCTATATGATCCTGTTAGTCTATTCTGAATTCAAACGCTCTTATAAATCACTTAGCAATGTATCCACAGGACTCACTATTGATTCTGGGTTTAAAACTGTGATATTTTACTGCCTGGAAGTACCCAGATTCAAAGCTTCATAAAATCAGTAGGCAAACCAATAGGTCCCGATGCTCGCCTTAATAAAATTGATGTCTTACATTCTATTTTTGCTCATCTAGATATCCTACCTATAGGATCCTAAATTAATGAAATCTGCTGATTTAATTGCATGCATTTGTCGTCTACTTGTGGAGGTTAATATGAGCCCTTATTTGTTCTTTACATGAAGTCCTATCTGAATTTTTGTTTGTCGCCTAGCTTTTCTCATTTTAAGCAACATAGGTCAGTTTAGAAGCACCCTAAATAGAGGTCCTAAATACCTCCAGGACCATAAGTAAGGGACGAGTAGTGCACGCATAGGGTACGGTTTAGAATCAATTAGTGCGCTTAGGTAACAACTGAAAGACAGTAATTGGGTAGTAAAGGAAATGATATCTCATGCGCTAATGCTATGAGTAAAACCCTGACTTGAGGGAGTTGCAAAGCATTGCATGGAATGATCCTATAGGCTAAAAAACTTAGGACCACCCCTATACTCCTGTGTAAAAAAATAAGTTAAATATTATATCAGTCCAAATTGCTTTCTTCCCTTTTAATACTAATTTGCTTAATTTAAGTTCGGCCAAGACCCACCGTTGTGGACCTCAAGGGGTGCCTAACACCTTCCCCTCAAGGTAATTTCGAGCCCTTACCCGATCTCTGGTGATGTAAACTGGTTATATGAGTTAATTGCTCTAGGTGCCCTAACGCACCTTAATCCGTTAGGTGGTGACTCTTCAAATCCAATTCCCTACCCTCACGAAAAGAGTTGTCCCAGAAAATGTCGAAACCCAATTTCGCGAGAAAAAAGGGGGCGCGACACTCAAGTTAGCAGCTTCGGCCTAGTCAAGATTCAACTTTTTCAGAGCCCACATGGCTTTTTGTTCAAGCTCCACTGGCAAGTGACACGTCTTACCAAAAACCAACTGGTACGGTGAGGTGCCAATGGGAGTCTTAAATGGTGTGTGATATGCCCATAATGCATCATCTAGCTTCCTTGATCAGTCAGTCCTATTTGCATTGATAGTTTTTGCTAGGATGATTTTGTTCTCCCTGTTGGAGACTTCAACTTGATCACTCGATTGAGGATGATAAGGTGTGGCCACCTTGTGCTTTATTCCATACTTTTCGAGCATCCCGGTGAAAGCCTTGTTGCAAAAGTGAGAACCACCATCACTAAGGAAGGCCCTGGGGGTACCAAACCGCGTAAATATGCTCTTCTTCAAGAATACGATCACACTCCTTGCTTCATTGTTGGGCTAGGCAATTTCCTCGACCCATTTGGAGACGTAGTCCACATCCACCTGGATATATGTCATGCCATAAGAACTCACGAAGGGGCCCATGAAGTCTATCCCCCACACATCAAATATTTAGACCTCCATTACAAAATTCATAGGCATATCATGTCTTTTAGATATTGACCCTTATCTTTGACATTGATCGCATGCCCTGACCATTTGATTTGCGTCTTGGTAGATCGATGGACAATAGTAACTACATTCAAGCACTTTTGCCGTCGTCCGATTTCTTCCATGGTGTCCCCCAACCGGGGAGTCATGGCATGCCTTGGGAATTGGCATTACCTCATCTTTCGGAACACATCACCGAATGATGTTGTCGGCACAAATACGGAACAAAAAGGATTCCTCCCAATAGTATTGCCTACTCTCCTGTAAGAACTTTTTCTTTTGATAAGCTTCCAATCCATCAGAAACAAGGTCACTAACCAAAAAGTTAGCGATGTAAGCATACCAAGGAGCAAATGTGCTAGACAATGCCAATATGTGCTAATCTAGAAAGACATCATTTATTTCAAGGTTTTTTTTGGTCTCCCTGCCTCTTCAAGCCTAGATAGGTGATCAACAACTTGATTTTCTATCCTTTTACGATCCTTGACTTCAAAGTCAAACTCTTGCAACAAAAGGACCCACCTAATCAATCTTGGTTTGGCATCCTTCTTCGCCATAAGATAGCGAAGAGCAACATGATCAATGTAAACTATCACTTTAGACCCCACCAAATAAGCCCGAAATTTTTCAAAAGCATAGACAATGGCAAGAAGTTCTTGCTCAGTCACAGTGTAATTCATTTGAGCGCCATTTAGTGTCTTGCTTGCATAGTAGACATGGTGAAGGATTTTGTTATGCTATTGACCAAGCACCTCCCCAAAAGCTAAACCACTAGCGTTATACATGAGTTCAAATGGAAGGGACCAATCGGGTGTGACAATAATAGGTGTCGTGGTGAGATTTTCTTTCAATTCCTCGAAAGCTTTGAGACACTTCTCATCAAATATAAAATTTGCATCTTTTTCAAGGAGCTTGCGCATGGGATTTGTAATTTTTGAGAAGTCCTTGATGAAACGCCTATAGAAGTCGGCATGCCCCAAAAAGCTTTGGACACCTTTTACTGAAGTGGGTGGAGGAAGCTTGGAAGTGATTTTGATCTTTGCCCGATCAACCTCTATGCCTTGTTTGGAAATTTGTGGCCCAAAACAATGCCCTCGTC